GGGGGGGGGCTCGGTGGGTATACCCGGGGATTCCCACGAATGACGGGGCTAGATTCGGGCCGGCCGGACGTTTGTTTCGTTTCTTGTTTGTTTTTTGCGTGTGTGGAGAAATTTATGGGGTGTGGAGAATGTCAAGGCAAGGTACTTTAACGGTATGGGGTTAACAACCAGGGGTAGATTGAGTGGGTGTGTACTTGTGTATATAAAAAGGCTTTGCGAAGCTTTCTTCGGTTTTGCTTGTCTGTTGTTTTCTTGTGTGACTTTGAAAACGCCAACGGGAGTAACAAAGACTTGTTTATTTGTATATATTTGAGGAGAAGCTTGGTTCAAACATGAAGTTTCTTATTTCGCTCTTGGCTTGCGGTTCAGCGGCTTTCGCTGCGCAGCTAACTCAAGTCTCGAATTATGGGGGTTCGGCAAAGGCGAGACCTGGAATGTATGTATACAAACGCCTCTCTTCCCATCCCATCACCCTCATCTCTTGTCTTAGCGATTTTGCTAACATTGCAACACAGGTACGTCTACAAGCCCGACCAGGTCAAGACCGATGCGCTCGTTGTAGCCATTCACCCCTGCGGATCCACCGGCCCGAGCTACTTTGGCTGGGCACCCTGGAAAAAGGGCTCGGATTCCAAGGGCTACATCTCCGTGTTCCCGAGCGCGACGGCGTCGTGCTGGGATGTTTCGAGCAAGGCGTCGTTGTCGCATAATGGAGGCGGCGAGTCGAATGCTATCGCTGATATGATTACGTATGCGACCAAGCAGTACAACCTCAATCCCAAGAAGGTGTATGTGGTGGGAGAGTCTTCCGGTGCGATGATGACGAATGTCTTGGCCGCGACATACCCCGATCTTATCGCTGCGACTTCGGTGTACTCTGGTGTCGCTGCTGGATGCTTTGTGTCGGCTTCTGGAGCGGTGGCGGCGTGGAACAGTGAATGCGCTCAAGGACGTTCCATCAAGACTGCGCAGCAGTGGGGTGATATTGCGCGCGCAATGGATCCTGGCTACAATGGCCAGCGTCCTCGTGTTCGTAAGTGGATTTGCGCTTCCCCGAGATGTTGCGGTTGCTAACTTGTGTGTAGAATTCTGGCATGGCTCTGTTGATGCCACCATCCTCCCGCCCAACTACAACGAGACACTCAAGCAGTGGACCAACGTGTTTGGAGTCAGCACTACGCCTACAAGGTCGCAGGCCAACACGCCCCAGACCAACTACCGCACCGACGATTTTGGTCCCAACGTTCAGGGAATCTGGGCAGTTGGTGTCGGACACGGTGTCCCAGCTCACCAAGCTCAAACTGAGGCCTGGTTCGGATTGTAAAAGTACGCATTTTCGTGCGATATGAGCAGCATACTTCATGTACATAAGTAGTCAAACACACAAGCCGTAAATATTGATCACCTTCCCGAGCTCTGACTCTCGCTTCTGCGATGGGTTTCCTTTGGTACTTCTAGTGTGTCTCGTCGTTTTGGTGCCCGAGCAGGACTAGAATCCAGTCGCGGCGTTTCTGGTATGGGTGGTGGTGAGCTGGGTCCAATATCTGATGTAGACCGAATGCTTGCCGCATATGTGCTGCTGGCTCTTGCTTCCCGGATCAGATCAAAATTGCGACTAGTACTCTCCAGATTTGGGTTACGCCAGACTTCTCCGGGTACCTCTGGGAAGGATCGTGTCGCCTCGTTGGTGCTGTTTTGCTCCAAGTCAAGCTTTTCATGCGCAGCATCGCCAAGATAGTTACCAGCAGAGGTCAGCCATCTACGGACTTTGTGTCTGCCGGCTGTTGGATGATCGTCTGGCTGAGTATCCCGACGGTCCTCTGGAAGGATTTCGCGTATTTGATCACCATCGTCCCCTGGATGCGTAATTGTTGGAATCAATGAAATGTCATTGGGCGACTCTGAGCGTATACCCAGAGCATTGACATGTATGTTCGAATGAGAGTTGGAGTTCCTCTGCGGCAGTGGAGTTGGATATCGTTCGCTACTGTGACTGTGACGTGAAGAGTATGAATGCTCGCATTGTGGTGTGTGCTTCTCTTCGGTAGTCTCTTTGCCACTGGTTGACCACAGCAGATACAAGGATCCCAAGGCACCGAGGATTGTACCAGCTATAGGTGACCACTGCCCTGCATGGAATGTTAGATGAGGCTGTCAGGCTACCTAGCGCCACGCAGTGCCACATACCAAAAGACCCCATGGGTTCGGTCATGTACATGAGCTGAGGGCTGAAGAAGTTTGCTTCGCCGATGCCGATAATGGTCAGTATAACGCCACCAAAGAGCGGGATCTCAATGACGGTCAGAAAGGATCGCACCAGATCGTTGATGTTTCTCATCTCTCCGACTGTCATGTTGGCGCCTTCGATGCGGGCATCGAGCTCTTCGACATGGCGACGTCTTTTCCAATTGGTTTCCAGGACCTTGTCCCATGTGAAGATCAAGGACAGGATGGCTGGTATACAGAACCCTGCCGCCAAGAGCATACCGGCATTAAAGGTCAGGATCCGTGGTACAGGAACAACAAAGACGTCGGCTGAAGCTCCGCCTCGCAGCGGCGACTTTGGGCCTTGTGTTTCAGAGCAGGTCAGATTGCAATTGGGCTGCAGTTTCAAAAAGGCGGCGGTTCCTCGGGGAGAGTTGTCGTCGATGGGGATGCTGCAGTCGGTTGGGGTCACACGGTAGAACTCAACGCACAGGGCCAGTAGGCCCATGAGGATCAAGATGGTCCACAAAAAGATGATGTTCCTTCCGGGCGTGTAAAAGTAGGTGCGCGACAGTCGCACCGTGAGCGGAGCGGCCAAGATGCCAATTGCACACACTTGAAAAGCACCAAAGATGTCCAAATCGATTCCTCCTGGTTACCATGACGTGTCAGGACAGGCATGGGCGTGGCTCGGTTGGGATTCTTGGGAGTTGCAGTACTGACCATTCTGGTGCGCAGCTGCGAGCACAATGCCTTGGAGCGCCGAGATGGCGGGGAGGATCAAGACGGCAGCCAAGCACGTGTTGCGCAACCATTCAGCTTTGCGAAATGTCACACATGCGGCAACGAGGACATAGTATAGGATCTGGAGGCGGGCGTCAGTTGTTGGCTGGGCGGGAACGCATTTTGACAGGCAGGTGGGGGGTTGGGTTACTGACACGCGACCCGGCGCCGTAGTTGGAAGAGATGGGCCAGGCACAGACGACTTTGAAGGCTGCGCTAGCTGGCGAAGATTGCGCAGAGGAGGCGATGGTTGCAGTGGTAGGGGTGGCAATGTCGGGGATTGTTGAGGACGCTGACATGTTCACACCGTATATTCGCCGGAGGAGCAGCAGCAGCAGCAGCAGCAGCAGCAGATGAAGACCATCGTTATGTAGGGGGCATAGAAGAGCGCAGCACAGAAGGAGCCGCAATGGCATGACGAGCTGGCCTAAGCAGGCAGACGCCGGTCCAGTGAGGCGGCAGTAGTCAATGCCAATGCTCTGGGGAAAACGCATCATTTACCGGTGAGTGTTTGTGGCTGCATAGGGCGAAGCGTGGCTGAGCGGCCAGCATGACCTGCCTGGGCAGCCAGTCCGTCAGTCACAGCCGCCAGTTTGCCTCAGAACCCAACTCATGGTGCGAGCAGCCTCGACGGCCCACAGCCGGCCGGCACGACGTCGTCAAGACGAGAAAAGATCGGTGCGCATTAAAAGGAGTCGGGCTCAGATAAGACAAAGGGTTGCATCATTGGGTTCTCGCCACCCGGTTTGGATGGCCAGCCTCCGATCCTTAGCCCTGCCAGCCCAGCCCAAGACCGACCATGCAGGCGGGCGCAGCGGTCCATCAACCCTATTCGGTACTGACGAAGCAGGCGCAGTGTCTGACTACGCTCTACCTAAAGCCCAGCTACATACACACCCACTTCACCACCGTCGTACAAACTTCTTGGTATCCCTTGGCTGCCATGCTTCAACTCTCAAATTTTGGCATTCACCACTAATTGCCTCGTGCCATCTTAGCCCAACGCACCGGCTCCCGACAAACGCTTCTCACCCGTCCATCGGGCCTACTGGAAAAGCTTAGTCGCACATACATATCTGCACACTACTACCCTTTCTTTTTTTCCCTTCGACTAGAATCAACTCGCAGCGCGTACTCGGCCTTCTGGCAGGCGTCGCAACATGCTTGCCCTACGTGCGACGGAGCCAGAGAGGCCCAATCTTGACACCAACGAAATCAAGCAATGGCGCTCCATAGTCACGCTCATCGTCTTTGTCCTGACAAGTAAGTCGCCTATGCATGCTGACAGTTGCAGACACCCAGCTAACTCTAGATGCTTGTAGACATTAATGTCTTGTTCCCTTTCCACATACCCATCTACATACCCCGGCCAATCTGGACTCTATGCCTCGACACTGTCAGTGCACTGCGCATCATACCACCACCCCAGCATCCAACCAGAGTGCGGAATGGCCGACCTGGCGCCCTTGTGCGATTCGACTTTCCCATGAATTTCATCACTGCTCCTCTGATCGCCGATCTCTTCCTGCTCGCCATCCTTGCCATTGGTGAAAAAGAAGTACGCGGTGGCACCGTTGGTGACCAAGGCATCGTCCCCTACGACATTATGCTCTTCTTCCTCTCGCTCGCCTACATTGCCATTTCTGTCGATGCCTCTGGTTTGATCAGATGGCTGGCTTTCAAGGTTTTGCAGAAAGGAGGAAAAGTAGGCCACCGGCTGTTCTTTTATCTGTACGCCTTTTTCTTCGGACTGACCGCTCTCATCGGCAACGATCCCATCATCTTGTCAGGCACTGCTTTCTTGTCTTACATGACTCGTGTGTCAAGCAACATTAAGCATCCAAGAGCATGGATCTTCACCCAGTTCTCCGTGGCCAATATCGCATCCGCAATCCTCGTCTCTTCTAACCCTACCAACCTGGTCCTCGCGGGAGCCTTCAAAATCACCTTTATCAAGTACACTGCAAACGTCATTGTTCCAGTCCTCGTGACAGGTATTGTCCTGTATCCATTTTTGCTGTACATCATCTTCCATGATGAATCTCTCATCCCACCTGCGATCAAGATGGAGGATCTTCCAGAAGAGCTCAAGGTAAGAAACTTGAATGCTTGTCATGGCCATTACTAATCTGAACCCGATAGAACAAGAAGCCAGTGAATCCAAACATTCCATTTGCCAAAGGTGGACTCGAGGATAGCGAGGTTGACCCTAACAGCGACGACGAGCAAGAAAAGAAACAGTCTCTGGAAGAAGTCTTGAATCCATTCCTGGACAGGAAAGGCGCCATGTTTGGAGCAGTTCTCATGGCAGCCACTCTAGTAACAGTGCTTGCTCTCAACGCAGCGTCTACAGGCACGCACGAGCGGCCCGTCTTCTGGGTTACTCTACCCGCTGCATTCATCATGCTCTGCTTTGACCTCACAATGGGCTGGCTTAACCGAAAAGAAACACGAAGAATCGCCCATGAAGGCCGACAGAGAATGGAAACCGCACTCGCAGAAAGAGAAGAGGCAAGGAGAATGTCTGTTCCACAAGTAGATCAGGATGCAATCACTCCCCACCCCGTCCAACGCGAAAGCCAAGTCCTGGACGAGAAAGTGCAACCAGTAGCAGACGACGCCAGCCACGCCACAAGCGGAGAGCAGCAAATAACACCCTCATCATCAGCCGAGCCCATGCCCCGATCAGAGGAAAAACTCGAGCCAACCAAAAAACCCGTCCCCACGACGCTCACCTCCCTCGTCTACGACGCCTACACGTGGGCCCAAGAAACCTTCCCAACGACAATGACCGTGTTCCACCACCTCCCCCTCGCCCTCGTCCCCTTTGCTTTCTGCATGTTCGTCCTCGTCCAAGCCCTCGTAACAAAAGGCTGGGTCCCCGTTTTCGCCTATGGCTGGGACCACTGGGTCGAGAAGACGGGGACGATTGGTGCGATTGGTGGTATGGGATTTGTATCTGTTATTCTGTGTAACGTGAGTTTTCCCCTTTCCCTCCCTTTTCAAATTAAAATAAAAACGAGAATAAGGAATGCAAGGAAGTTTAAGATGGCGAAAGTGGGAAGAAAGCTAATGGCAAACACAGTTCGCAGGCACAAACATCGGCACCACGATCCTCATCTCACGCGTTATCCAAGCATGGGAGGAGATTCATCGACAAAATGGACGACCGATTTCTGATCGCACGTTTTGGGGGACTATATACAGGTACTTACCTTCTCCTCCTCCTTCCACACAACAAAAAAAAACAGCTAACAACTTTCACAGCATGGCCATTGGTGTAAACTACGGTGCCTTCAGCCTCGCCTTCAGCGCCTCCCTCGCCGGCATGCTCTGGCGCGATATTCTAGGCCGCAAACACATCCGCGTCGGCGGCCTTGAATTCGCTCGCGTCAATCTGCCCATTATCGCCATCACCATGGTCGTCGGGCTTGTTGTCCTAATTGGCGAGATCTACATCATCAGGGATAACAAGCCTTATTCCCTTGGTTGAAAGTCCTGATATACACAGGAAAGGGGGAGAGTTTTTTTTTTGAATTGAGGCTGGGAAGTCTGTCCAGCAATGTTCAGCGCATGCGAATCTGAAGTTTGAGAAACGCAGGAAGACGAGACAGAGAGGGGCTGAAGGTCGCGGATTCGACATGCACACCGTTTTCTGCTTCTCTCTGTAGAGCAGCGAAGACGGAGACGAAGACAAGTCATGGTGCGTGGCGCTGCCGTGCAAGATGGGCGATAACAAAGTCGAAATGCGTAGAAGTAACGGCGCGCCGAAAGAGAACAATGGGGAGAGTACAGAGAGAGAGAGAGAGGGGGGGGAACTAGAGTGGGAATTGAATCATAATACGTGGTAATGACATAAAATAGACTGGGAATAGGATATATAGACAATTTCAGAATCGCAACTTCAACTCTGAAAAAAAAAGCTTTCCTTGTGCCTAGGTACACTTGAATGCAAAAGACAATAAAAAAAAGTTGCTATTGTCTATTTATCCCATCTTCTCCCCAATTCACACACCCTACCCCTCTCTCCTCCAGAAAGAAAAACATACATTATATGTATATAAACCTCGCTCCGCAAACCCCAAACACCCTGAATCCGTGTTGAAAAAGAAAAAAAACGCCGAAAAAAGACTCCCCTCAAATTCCTCTTTTGTATGTTCCCTATAACCCCAAAAAGGGTTTCCCAAAAAAAAACTCCAAAGCAATGTTCAAACCCCCAGACTTTATTTCCCACCCGTCAAGAACACATATACGCGCATGCGCGCGCCTCGAAACCCCCTCCCCATAACTTTGTGTATACGAGATAAGATATATATGCATATATGTGTATAAAAGAAAGAAGGAAAACTGTTCTTTTCGCAGCCCTCTCCCTCCCCCCCCCCCCAAAAAAAGGTAAACCCACGCTCTCGCTCGACGTAAAAAAACAGTCAAAGGAAAAAAAAAAAAGGCATCGTCCAAGGGAAGAAGAGGAAAGGGAGGAAGAGCTCAGCAAGTGGTATCACGCGCCAACAAAACAACGAAACTCGTCAGAGAAGAAGAAGAAAAAAACACTCAGAACGCTCAGAACGCTCAAGGTCAACGACGTGAGGGAAGAGAGAAAGAAGAAGAAGAAGAACAGGGTAGCGGACCAAAATCTTAGTCCCAAGCGTTGTTATGCTCACCCAGCAGGCGACGGCGACGTCATAGGCGACGGCGTATCGGCATCCGCAGCAACAAGGCCATTAGCCACACGCGACGACGGGGCAGCAAACGGTTTGGCGTCGGCCATTTTTGCCACGGCCTTTGTAGTCCCATTTGCGGCCGAGAGATCGGCTACGGAATTCGGGGGCGTAGTTTCCGCCTCTTCGGGAATCGTCTGGCAGTAAGTCTTGAGCACGTGTTTGAGTGCTGGACGACGGATAGGCTTGGAGAGGAAGAAATCCATGCCCGAGTCGAGACATTCTTTGACGTTGCTTTCTTCCGCGTAGGCGGTGAGGGCGACAATGGGGGCCGAGAAGCCGGATTGGCGGATGAGACGTGTGGACTGGAGACCGTCGAGGTTGGGCATTTGCACGTCCATGAAGATGAGGTTGTAAGGGGCCTGGCGTTCCATGCTTTCCTTGACCTTGTCGAGGGCTTCCTGGCCGTCCTTTGCAACGGTTACGTCGTAGACGTCTTCGAGCTTGAGCATGCGCAAGACGACTTCTTGGTTGGTTTTGTTATCCTCGGCGACGAGAACCTTGACCTTATCACCGCGTTTCGTTGCTTCGGCCTCGACGCGCTTCATGGCTGCTACCTGTGAGTTTGGTGACTCCAACGGCTTGTTCGAGGCAAAGAAGGGATGACTGAGACCAACAAGACGGGGTTGGTTGTCCGACTCAAAAGACACTGGACCCGGTGGTGCGGTAGCGGCCGAAGTAGCGACGCTAATAGGGCTATTAGCCCCGGAACGCAACGAGCGGGCCGACCGTGCATCGTCATGGGATCGACGACGCGGGGTGTCCTCGATCGACATGCTCCGCCGCGGGGTTCCAGTTTCCGTATTAACAATCCTCGAACTAGCGCTGCTGTCTGCGCGGCTGGCTACGTGCTTCAGTGGAATGACCATGGTAAACACGCTTCCGTGGCCGACTTCACTCTTCAGACCAATCGTGCCCTTCATCAAGCCCGCGAGTTGCGAACAGATGCTCAAACCCAAACCAGTGCCTCCAAACTTCTTGCTCAGGCCCAGGTCGCCCTGGACAAAAGGTTCAAAGATCTTGGAATGCAAATGGTCAGGGATACCTGGTCCAGTGTCTTCAACCTCAAACTCAAACGTCAGCCAGCGCCCAGGTGGCGGCGTCGCAGCCCGCTCTTGAAGCATGTAATGCGAATACGCATTTCCCTTGTCCGTGACGTTGATTGTGTTTGCAGTATCGTAGCGATTCGGCGTGGCTACTGACACCGATCCAATTTCCGAAGCCGAAGTTCTTACCCGCGCCTTTGAGTTGCGTGCCGAGCTTTGCCGTGACTGTATCGAAGCCTTGCGGCTGTCTGGCATGCGGGCTTCTCCGGGACATCGGATCGTGAGCGTGACCGAGCCGCCCTGTGGCGTAAACTTGAGACTGTTGGACACGAGGTTGATGACCACCTGCAGTATTCGATGCTGATCTCCGTACAGAATCATGTCCTTCAACCGGCCAAGCCCAAAAGGACCGAGATCGCGTAGCTCATTGGGCCGCCCGTTGTCATCCAGATTGTTTTCGTACGGCCCTTCGAATTCCACGGCTAACTTGATGCCACCTTCTCTTGCCTGCTTGTCGAAAATAGCCAAGACCTGTGAGCTGACATCTCGCAAGCGGAACTCCTTCTCATCCAAGCTCAACTGCTGTCCGACCTGGTTCTTGCTAAAAGTCAAGAGATCCGTCAATAGATTCAGCAGCAAGTCTCCGCTCTTGTAGATAATACCCAAAGACCGTTTCAACTTGACCGGGTCGTCCTCTGACATGCAGACTGCGCACATACCCAGGATACCGTTCAACGGCGTCTTGAGTTCGTGCGAAATGTTTGCAATGAAGAGAGTCTTGCTCTCATTCGCAGCCTCTGCAGCTCTTTTGCTTTGCTCCAACTCTGCCGTTCTCTGTGCTACTCTCTCCTCAAGCTTTTCATACTGCATCATGAGTTCGTCCGTCATCTCGTTGAAGGTGGTGGTCAAGTCGGTAAGTTCATCGTGGATAAAGTGCTTGCGGTCCTTGACTTTACTCGGGATGCGGAACTGCCTACGCCTCTCTGCCTCCTTTCTTTCTGCCTTGTTAAGTTTTGCATTTCTGCGATAATGGATAATCTGGCCAAAGAAGCCTTCCTTGCGAGCCAGTGCTGCGTCATCTGAGCCATCGGGCCCGCCATCATGGTGCGAGCTAGAGTCGTCATCTTCAAACACCGAAGGCGAGACCGTCTTCTTCGTAGCATCTCGTAGCCGTCGGATTGGCTGACTCGAATAATGCGCGACGGGGAATGCAGCAATCAGCATGGCACCAATAGTACCAAAAACACAGGCGAGGATGATATTCCGAAGACGATTGATGGGCTCCCAGACCTCCTTACGCGTCTGCTCAACTACAACCATCCAATCCACCATGGGGCTGCGGACAATAGCGTATCCAACTGCAACCTTGTCGCCTACCTCATTCACCGTAGGAACGATGCTACCAGCATTACTAGTAGCGCCGGTGGCCTGGGTGAAGCCTTTGCGGATGGCCGGGTATTCGGACCAGTCAAAAGGAGAAAGTTCAAGTTCGGTATCGTATTTGCCATGTCGCTGTATGCCGGCTCTGTACGTTGGCGGTACAAGAAAACGTACCAGCATTTTTTCGGGGGGTGTCGGATTCGGGGCATCGTACATGTAGTTTGATGGAAAGACGTTGGTAACGTTGTTGGGGCCAAAAAGGAGAGTCAGCCCACTCTTGTCTAGGCCATCAATAGCCTCCACAACATTGGAAATGAGCGAGGCGTCCAGAACGGTCGTGAGCCATCCTAGCGTATCGATGTTGGACGTGTTGTTAATGATGGGCGCGGTAATGGAGACGAGGCTAAGAGAGTCATTGACGCGATACGGGCCGAGCAAGAGATAACTCGTGTTATCGATAGTCCTCCCCTCAAAATGCGCCTTGAAGGTGTTGAAAGACGAGTTGAACGGAATAGACTCGACAGTAAATTTAGGATAGAGTTCAGGTATGTAGCCATAATCAGGGTCGCCCAGTGTTGCATTTTGGCCGTCTGGTTTCTGGACAGGGAGCACGACATCCATCATCGTGACGGCGGTACGGCGGAAGAGTGCGCGGGCCGACGAGTTGAAGGGAAAGATCTGGGCCTGGACAGCGATGCGGGTCCGGACATCGCCCGAGAAGATGGCATCGTAGTCTTCCTCGACGCGGGACCAGTTCTCTATCGAGTTGTTACCAAGATAGTAGCGACCGAGCGCAGCCTGAGGAGAAAGACGGTTCGCTGCTTGTTGGACGAGGATTTGCATGAGGGCCAGGTTCGAGGACAGCTGTGCGGCTTTGAGCGAGGCGGTTAACGTAAGGCGAGTCGATCTACATGGCACAACAGTCAGCATCGAGGGCACCCAGGACCCGAGGGCGCTTGAGGAACAAGGAAATACCGTATGTTGAGGACGAAATCGTGGTTGGTGAGCTACTCATGTCAGCAACAGAAGGCATTGCTAGCAGGCGGGAGTGTGTACCCATGTTGCGACTGCGACGACGGCCAGGCCTATGGTCGAGGCCAGCAGCACCAAACAGCCCAATTGCTCGCGGATAGGGATGCGCATTTTGGCCATGTCACCGGGCGGCGCAGACAGCAGACGTTGTCAAAGGCAGGGCTAAGGGCGAGGAGCGTCGTGTGTGTCCCATTCCTCGCAGTGCATGCAGGCTCGTGCGGATGTTTGGGGGGAATGGGCAAGGGCGGAGGCGTGGTGTCGAGTGAATGGATGTGCAACCACCAAGGGCACGGCAGCAGGGGTTCAGGCAGACGACAGCCGGCAATCAATCAATCCAGCAGCCGACCAAGAGCAGCAAGAGGCTTGGGGCGACGGGCGGCGGAAAGAGAGAGCAAGAGGCAATGGCAGCAGAGGGAGACAGAGCAGAGCAGGGCGCGGCGGAGCGGCCGTCGGCATGGCGCGTCGGAAGCCTGGAGTGCACAGTCGATGGGGAATGCAGGCCGGACGCTTTGGGGGTGGTGTGGGAGGAGGAGATTACTCTAGCCAGGCGGGTATATCGCTATCTGGCTAGAGGCGCTGACCGTTGGGTGTTCGCTTGCAGCTGACAGTGCAGCCATTCGCGCATGGTGACAAGAGCCAGAGACATGACACACGAGCAGCGCCATGCCCGCATGAGGCCACATCTCGATGGGCACCGCCCCAAGAGACCGTCGTGTGGTGTTTTCCTGGCGCGCTCCACCTGTCACTCTGTCACTCTGTCACTCCCTCGTCGTCGTCCGCCCCGTTCATCCGCAACCGCACATTGGGGAAAGCGGCTGGCCTTGGCGTGGCGGGGACGGGTCTGGCCTCGCCTTTTTTTCATCGATCGGCAGATTCGCCTCATGTCTTGCGATCCCCCCAGTCTGCCGCTAGTCCACCCATATCAACACCGACACGCGCAACAAAAAAAAAACCTGCATTTCCGTTCAAAAATCTCGACAAGCATCAGACATGGCTGTTTCGCAACATTTCCATGTCGGTAGCCTCGTCTTCAATCGGTCCGTTCTCCCCCCCGGCCCGCGTGTGGGTGCTGGGGTGGTCAGCGAACCTAAGTAAGTATACTTAGTTATTTTAGTACTAGTGCCATTCTCCTCCCCATTCCCACACATCAGCCGCATTCAACCACACAGCATTCGTTTCTCGTTCCACCACGCATGCACCCCATCTCTCCACACATACATAAAATCATACCACATCTCTCCCCATCTCGCCACTTAGTCATCACGAAACCTTTTTTTCCCGTCTACTCGAAAAAGAAAAAGCAAACTCACGACCAAAGACGCCACACACACCCCTGCCTGCCGCCCTCTGCCCCTGATCTGAACATATCAAGATACAAAACAAAACTCATACATTCCTCTTGAACTACATCCATATACTAGACATGCTCTCCCCTCACCTCCCCTCAACCGCGGGACCAAGCGCCGTTAGTAATAATGCGATTAATCCTCCCCCCGCCCCCTACCTACCCAGCATCCATGTCACAACTCCACCCCATCCAGCCCTGTTAGTAATAATGACCGCAACCAAAACCACCGCATTTCTCTCCTGACTCATCCGACCCTCTCTCCGAAAGAAAATCAGCTTGCGTAAACCTTATGCATGTTGCGTTTTACCGGCACAGCGCGGAAAAAAAAAAGGGCTGCATAGAATTTCTCCAGAACGAACATAGCATGTACAGACTGTGGTCACGTGATAAGATGAATTGGGGGAGGGGTGGGGGAATGATGATAACTAGGCAGCCAAGAGCACAGACTCGGACTCTGTTCCATCTGATGAGTCATCCGAGCATACGTACGCACTGGGATTTCGTTGCATGGCTCTATCGGAAGATTGAGATGTTAGGGGGTACGGAGGCGTGAAGGTGTGGATGGGGGGTTGTAGTGTAAAGATCAAAGAAGAGTGCATATGTATATATCCATCTATGTGACGCGGCTAAGAAAGAAACAAGAAAGGAAAACCGGAATCGCAAAGATCGTAAAAAGATCGGGTATCAAAGAGACCAAAAAAAGGGGGGGAGTGCGAATGTGGAGAAGCCATACTGACAAGAGAAAGCCCTTTCAATACACACAATCAACCAACCCCCGAAATACCCACACCTACTTACCACCACCTACTTCATTCCAAACAAATACCTCAACTCCCTAACATCCAACCTCGTCAAATTCTTATACTCCCTCTCATCCAGCGCCGCCCCAATCATCTCGCGCTTACTATCCTGCAAATGCGTAATCCGATCCTCCACCGTCTCGGGCACCAACACACGATGCACATACACTTCGCGCGTCTGCGGCATGCGATGGGCCCGGTCGACAGCCTGGTCTTCAATAAAAGGGTTCCAGAAGGGATCGAGGATGATGACTTGAGATGCTTTCCACAGGTTGAGACCCGCATTACCTGCTTTGAGCGAGACGAGCATGACGTTTTGGTCCGCCTCGTCCATGAAGGCGCTGACGGCGTCGGCGCGGGCGTCCATTTTCATGGTGCCATCGTAGCGTTGGTATTGCATCTTTTCTCGGTTGAGCGGGACTTCGATGAGGTCGAGGAGTGAGGTGAATTGGGAGAACACTAGCGTCTTCTCGGTTGGGTCGTTGTTGCGGATCTCTTGGAGAAGTTGGATCGTTCGGTTGATCTTCGCGGATGGAACATATGTCTTGTCCAGACGACGGAGGTAGCGCTTTTTGGCTGCTTTGCTGCGCATTGACTCTTTCTTCAGCTGAGCCAAAGTCAACTTGGGTTTAGCACGCGCCTTGCCCTTGCCCTTGGCACGCTTCTTCGACTTCTTCTTCGACTTTGCTTTGGGAGCAGAGTCACCCGCCTCATCACCGTCTTCGGCGTCATCATCCACAACAAATCCAGCCAGATTGCCGTGCTTATCAGCATCGGGCGCATCCCCATCTTCAGAATCGGAAACATCAGACTCGGAATCGTCGTCCTCGGCCTCGTCGTCCAGATCAGCTGACGCGAGACGCTCGCGACAATGGACTTTGCAAAAGTGCTTGTAGTCGGTGATCAATCTGGCCCTCAACTCGCCACGGCAATGCGGACACTTGGGTATGCTTGTCTCATCGTTGCCATCCTGCTGAGCTGCCCGCATTGCGGGGTCAATAAGCTTCTGGACACATTCGCCACAGACCGTATGTCCGCACGGAATGATAATGGTCGGGTTAGGGTCAGCCTCGAGACAGATTGGGCACTCGAATGAGTCGTGATTCTTTAATCGCACGACGACGTCTGCATTCAATCCCTGCGCTCGGGTCAACAGGTCGTCCTCGTCAATGCCCTCAGTCGCTGGCTGGCTGAGATCTTTGATCAGGTGTGGATGACAGCAGGCCTGACGCAGTCGAAGTAAGAGGACCAAGACATTTGCATAGTTGGCTGGATCTTGTTAGCATGTAACCTTACAAAGCCAAAACTAACTTGAGCAAGCTTACATGAAACTGCGTCATTGTCAATGTACTGGTTCATTTGAAGCTGTGTCCTCGTCTCCAAAGCACGGTATAGTTCAAGTTCTGATTCGCTAAAATCAACGTTGTCGACAACAACGTGCTTGGGCGGAATTCTGGAGATTGGTTGTCCATCCACTTTGGCGTCCTTCTGCCTTCGCAGCATGAGAGACGCCAGCAGAATTCGAACACGATCCATCCCTTGGCTCCTCGTACGTGTTTGCTTGATTGTCTGAGAATCGTCAGCCTGTAGCGCACGATCCACTAGTACTTATCACTTACTTTAAAGATGTCCGTGTTGAACTTGTTCCACGAACAATAAGGTTTCACCTTGAGGAACCGAATCAACGGGTATAATTCAGCGATGCTGTTCATCATGGGCGTTCCAGTCATGCACAAGCGGTGATGGGCCATGAGATCTGCGCAAGCTTTTGACGCTTTGCTGTTACGATTCTTGATATTGTGAGCCTCGTCAATGATGATGCGATACCACATGCACTCGGGTCCGAGCAATGCAAGCTTATCCTTGGCTTTGCGACGAATAGAAGGGTCCTGTGTCTCCTGTTCGTGCAGTGTCGACTCTTTCCGGGACTCTTTCTGCTTGTATTCCGAGGTAAGGCAGCCAAAGGTTGTCAGCACAACATCGTACTGACGAAGACGGGAAAAATCGACATTCTTGCCAGTACCGTGGTAGAGATATACACTGAGCTTGTGACGAGGATCAACATGCCGTTCGATTTCTTTTTCCCACTGCCGCATGAGAGCCACAGGCGCGATTATGAGAGTTGTTTTACAGGCTGGATCATCGGGTGGATTTGCACAAATGAGCGCAAGAGCTTGTATCTGAGTATGTTGTTAGTAACGGAGTAGCCAGGTTGGACCAGAACATAGGTCATCAAAATGCGATCCGATTCACTTACCGTCTTTCCCAATCCCATATCATCAGCTAGAATACTGCCTTTGTTGTCACCACGTTCCATCTTGAGGAGCCAGGTCAGACCAATTCGCTGGTACTCTTTGAGGGTACAGGTCATGATGGCGGGCGTTGGCTCTCGCTCCTCAGTCTTATCAGCATCGCCCTTAAAGTTCTCAAGCAGCTTCTCTATGGCCTCTGTTTCAGCGACATGACTCCCTGGGAAGCCACCATATTCGTCACCGTCGCTATCGCCGGCTCTCATGAACAGAGGTCCTCTAAGCGCATCCATGTAAGGAGGCAAAGCATTATTGGCATAGTAATCGAACCCAGCAGTTTGATCCCCCGGAAATACATGCGGCTGCTGCTGATATCCATAGCTATGACCTGGTGGGTTCGGAGTCATCATGAACTCAGCCAGCTCTGGTACGGACATATAATCCCTACTAGCATTACTGGCCGGCATCGAATGGCCATTGCGAAATGCTCCCCGATAGGCATTGTGCAGTTCTGGAAACGGATCCGAATATATGGGCGCCTGCATAGGCGGCTGGGGGGATCGTACAGGGGTAGGGGGATCAGACTCGGTCAAATCTACGAAAGCTATTTGATCAGATCGATGCACATGATTTGACTCCCGACGAGGCAATGATTGTGACCACGACTGCAAAGGGGGTGTTGTGATATCTGGGCTTGGTTGCCTGCTCATACGCTTGGCCTCA